TATCTGAGTTAAGAGTGAAATGAAAAATACTTAATCTTGTAATCAGATACAGTGAAAGAAGTATACAATATTCTTATTATATAAGAATAAGTGAGTTAATTGCAACAGAAAATACTGCAGTTAAATATATCTTAACAGAGAATAAATAATCAGACTTCTATAATATAAGTTATATATCTGAATATAATGAATCTAGATCTGAATACTATTGCTAAAGCACTGAATTCTCTGAAAAAGAAATTCTATGAGTGAAAATCTTGATATTATGAGTATTAAGATTACTTTAACTGCAGATATCAAAATCATGATACAAAGAATTGCACACAGTGTACACAGTTAAGAGAAGTAAGAGAGTTAAAAAACTAGTAGAATCAGTGAGCTTGAAGACACTTGCTAATATTCTATGAAAAGTCTTTAAAGTGAAAGAGATATCTGTGTTAAATAATCTGCTGAATTCTGTGAATGTAAAGAGAAAGCAGGCTTCTGACTGAGATATAAGTGAGAATGAAGTGAATACTCATCTCAATATCTTAAGATCTGAAATATTAATATATAGAGAGCACTTGAGTAAGAATTGAGAGATGACTGTAAAGGTGTTAACAGACACAGAAGCTTTTATATAATATATTAATAATTATATAATCTAAAGACTGAAAGAGGTCTGCTGAGTGAAGAATTCTCAATGTATAAAATTGTCTGATAACTGATATTTAGTATTATCTGCAAGAGTAAGAGTTCTCTTACACTTCAGAGAATAATCTTATTATATTTGAGTATAAGAGCTGCAGAACATGAAATATAACATTATTCTTAAACTTAATTAATTTCAAAAGTTCAATCTGCAGATTCACTAGTTTACATATTATATATAATTAACTGATAGAAAGAAAACAGTTCATACAATTCTATTAACTGATATAAGAAGAACATTTGTTGCCTCTGATATAGAAGAGTTAAATCTGCTTATATATTAATAAGTAAAGAGAATGATTACAGACCTATCTGAAAGTATCTTATATATCATATAAGACCTGAAAAGAGAAGAACTAAGATAAAAGATATATAGAAAGACAAGTATATAAAGAACTTCTGAAGAAGTATGAAAGAATCTTCAGAACAGATCTCTCGCTGAAATTGTCATCAGAACAAGAATTTGTATATAAGATTGATACAGAGATTATAAAATCAGTCAATCAGAATGCATACTCTCTGTCACAAACATATCTTGAAGAATAGAAGTATCAGATCACAGATCTTCTAGAACATAATCTTATATAACTTTTATAAAGTATGTGAGACTTCTCAGTTGTATTTATGAAAAAGATGAATAAGAAGTGATGAATGTATATTAATTATTAAGCACTCAATAAGCTTATAATCAAGAATAAATACTCATTATCACAGATTCAACAACAGTTGAATACAGTTAGAAACATCTGATATTTATCAAAGATCAATCTTCTCTCAAAATACTGATAGATTTATATAGATAAACTGTCAGTACTGTGAACTGTGTTTAATATATAATGAGAGAAGTTTAAATTTCTGGCAATGTCATTCAGTCTGATAAATATGCCTGTTATCTTTCAAATAATGATGAATAAAATTCTTTATAAACAGAATAAAATCTCATATCTTATATATCTGAATGATATTCTAGTCTTCTCAAACTTATATGATGAACATCTGAAGTATCTCAATGAAGTGCTTATAACTATGACAGAGTATAAGCTCTACATCAAATCAATCAAGTATGTGTTTGAAATAAAAGAGTTGAAGTTTATAAGACATGTGATGAGTGATAACTGTATACACCTCATCTCAGAGAAATTGAATGTTATAGTGAATTAAATGTATCTGAGAAACATATATTATATATAACAGTTTCTTGAGTTGATCTTATAGTACTGCAGATTCATCAAAGACTTTGCATGAATAGCTGTATCACTCTCAGATCTCTCAAGAGAAACAGATGTCAATCTGTGAAAGAAGAAGTTTTATTCAATCATCTGAAATGTCATGTGTAAAGAGATCTTTCTCACACTGAGAAAATATGTGATAATATTCTCAGTACTTATTCAATCAGATTGTGATAAATCTTTCTACATTGAAACAGATGCATCTGAATGAGCTATTGAAGATACTCTTCTGCAGATGAGTAAGAATGACAAGCTGCATCTGATGATATATAATAGTAGAAAACTATCAGATGCTGGCTCAATTACTCAGTGTATGAAAGAAAATTACTAGCAATCAAGCACACACTGATGTTGTGAGATAGATATATTAATAATAGATATATAACAACAGTGATCACAGATCATGAAAGTCTTATCTACCTATAATTGATAATAAAACATTTTAAACACTTAGTATGTTAAATCTCAGAGTTTTAAGTATACAATCTTCACATTAAATACTGAAAAGAATTAAATACTGTAATATCTGATGCAATCAGTTACAGATCTAATTTCATAAATGAGAACTCTGTGAAGAAGGTACGAGAGAAGTTCACATTAAACATACTAAGAGATTGCAAGAAATCAGAATGAGTGAATGCAATGATCTCTTACTTAAAGAATAGTAAGACATTCAATGACAAGCATCTTATAAAAGAGTAGAAGAGATGCTTTCAAACTTCAAGCTAAGAAAATTGAAAAACAATGTTATACATTATCATGATCTAGAATATGCAGAAGCTCTCTATCTGAAATATTTATTTAGAGATACCTTGATAACTCACATGCATAAGAAATTTAGTTACTTAGAAAGCTCTGAACTTATAAGTGTACTCAAATCAAGAGTGTACTGATCAAGCATGACTGAGAACATTTAGATATATACTCATAAGTGTCTGAATTATCAGGTTGTGAAAGAATCTAGAAAAGAATTAGAATGTGAGAAAGTATAATATCAGATAAAATGTATGATACAACTGTTTAAATAACAAAGAGTGAATCTCATAGATATATTACTGTGAACACTAAATGAAAATTATTGAATAATCACTGCTATTGACTACACTACTGATTGATCAGTTATGAAAGCAGTTTCAGAGATAATAGAGAAGATAATGATAAAGTTTCTACATAATGAGATCTATATCAACTATGAAATGTCACATAAGATTCTAACTGATAACAGTGTGAACCTTGTAGAAGAAGTAGTGAGATATTTCATAAGTCAGTTACAGATAAGATATTATAGAACAATGTTATATAATCTGTGAATAAATGAGAAGATGAAATACTTGAATAAAATTCTGAGTAACATGCTAATAAAATATCTAGTGAACAAGTCTACAAGACTATAAGATAAGTATCTCAGACAGGCACTATTAGTCACACAGATTCAGAAGCATGTAGTCTTCAAGTATTCATTATTCTATCTGTTATATGAATTACATTTACTCATTCTAAATAATGCTTTGAAAAAGATGAGAAAGAAAAGAGCAGTTACAGATGCAACAGTTGCAGATGCAGCAGTTGCAGATGCAGTAGTTGCAGACACAGAATCAAGATTGAAAGAGATCCGTTATACATGTGTAAAAGCTAATGAGTTACTTCTGAACTGAGCAATTCAATCAAAAAGAATACAAGACTCACTAGTTAAGAAATTGAGTCTCAAGATAGAAATGTGAGTTCTCATATACAATGAGAGTTCTGAGAAGTTTCAATCTAGATAGTTTAAGCTCTATAAAATACTCAAATCACATTCTCTGACAATATACACATTGAAAGAATCAGAGAGACAGATCTTATACAACTTAATAAATAATTCATATCTTATAAAGATGAAGATGTAAGATATGAGCAGATTATGATTATCTACAGCACTATTATCAGTGGTGAAAAAGAAGAAGCTTATAATTAAAAAGTCTCATGAAGTAAGAGAAATCATCAACACTTATAAATCAGATAATCTCAGTTATTCTGATCTTTTCACAATTATAAGAAAAGAATAAGAAGAAATGAAGAAATCAGATGAATGTCACACTTTAATAAGTGATAAGACTGAAGCTGATTATATGATAATATGCTGCAGATAGTGAGTGTAACATGATAAAGAGTAGTCTCAGAGTGACAGACTTGTATATAAGTCAGATTGCAAAAGAAAAAGAAATTCAGAGTTAAATTCAACTGTTTACATCAGTTCAATTACAGAGACAACAGAGGATAAAATATCTGAAACATTTACAAATGCATAAGATCAAGTCATCTCAATTTCTGAGAATACTCAGAGATCAGATAAGATTAGTTTTAATAAGCTGTTTACTGTAGTGATCTGAGTGAGTGAAGAGAGACAGTATAATACATAAGACAGAATCACAAGATGAAAGCTACTGAATCTAGTCATTAAATACTGTACTATATAGAGATTATATAAGAGTAGTGACTAGCAGACAAAGGAAAAGTGAAAGAAAAGAAAAGAGAATAACTCAAGAGATAATGACTTAATGATTAATCATAAGAGTCAGTTATAAAAAGACAAATATTATCATACACATCTCATTCATTGTCATACATCACATATTTAATCTATTTTCAACACCACATCATCTGAGAAATGTCAAAAAAAAAGAAAATCTCAAAACTCAGAATCTGTAAGAGATTTGAGAGCTGTAAGCTGCTCTTATAATAATATCATATATATCTCTGATTTCTCTACTACTCTATGTAGAACATTAATATCATTTATCACAAGATTGTCTGAAATGCCAATATAGAAATGTGTACACATGTGTGTAGAAAAATTAAAGAAGAGTATAGAATCTGCAATATCAGAAGCCAGAGTAGAAAAGACAGAGACAGAAGAAACAGAAGAAGAAGAGAGTACAGAACTAAATAAATAACAGTGAGAGTTACTCAGAGCTAAATACTTATAATCTGAAGTGTGTATAACCTTACTCACAGAGAAGATATTGAGAGAGAAAACAACAGAAGAAGCTTGAAACTGAAAGAGAATAGTCTTAGTAATGTTATCATCTTTAATTAAAATGACCTCTGATGCTGAAGTAACTAAGAATTATTATTAGTGTACAAAACTGTAAAATCAGATATGAAAACAGTTATTAAATGAACTCTCACTGATCTTAGAGTTGTATGTGTAATTACAACACATACAAGGCTTCTCAGAAAGAGAGAGAGAGACACAGAGAAATGCAGAAAGCAGAATACATTACATAAGCAGCTCATTTTCATAATAATATCTCAGACAAGATATACAAGTCTCACATCTATAAGTGTAAAAGAGTATAACATCTGTGTTCTTATTTCTGAAAACACAGATATTCTTCATCTGTATTATAAAGTCAGATGACAAATGTCAGAGAATAGACTTATTATTATTATTCTTCAATTATAGATGTATGCAGTCAGAGACTATAACATCTACCTGAGAACTTTTAGTTCTCCCGCGGTTTTTTCTATATCTATAAAGTTAACTATTAT